CAAGACTCGTCTCAAAAAAAAAAAAAAAAAAAAGAAACCCTGCCCCCAAGTAAAGAAAAAAAGAAAAAAGAAAAAAATTAGCCTGGTGTGGTGGCGGGTCTGTAGTTTCAGCTGGTCAGGAGTTGCAGAATGGCATGAACCCGGGAGGCGGAGCTTGCAATGAGCAGAAATCGCCCACTGCACTCCAACCTGGGGTTATAGAGGAGACTCGTCTCAAAAAAAAAAAAAGAAAAGAAAATATGCCCGTGCCTCGGTGGCGCACGCCTGTAATGCTAGCACTCTGGGAGGCCGAGACGGGTAAATCACCTGAGGCCAGGCACCCAAGCATCCTGCCTGGCCAACATGGTGAAACCCATCTCCACTGAAAATATAAAAATCCAGCCGCATGGGGTGGCATATCTGTAATTCCAGCTACTCTGGGAGGGGCTAAGCCAGGAGAATCGCTTGAACTCAGGAGGCAGAGGTTGCAGTGAGCCGGGAGATCACCCCACTGCACTCCAGCCTTGGTGACAGAGTGAGACCTTTTGGTCTTGGAAAAATAATAATAATAACTTTTATTTTTTAAGATATAGAGTCTCACTACGTTGCCCAGGCTGGTCTCGAACTCCTGGCCTCAAGCCATCCTCCCACGTTAACCTCCCAAAGCACTGATTACAGACATGAGCCACCCAGACACTGGGGGCCAGGAGGGCAGGTGCTGCACAGAGCTGGGCCTAGGGATCAGAGGAGGAGACAGTATAGACGCCCTGAGGTCAGCTCTTGCCAAGGCAGGAAGGCCCCTTGGTTTTCAACGCTCAGATACAGGACATGATGACAGGCCAAGGACGCCACCTCTGTTCCCTCCTGACTTGGATGTGGTCAGAGAGAAGTGGGACCAGGTGAGGTCTGGGCTACTTTGCCTGGTCTGCATCCTCTTTTCTGACTTTGTGGCATTCAGTACAGGAGGAAGAGAGGAGAGAACTGGGTGCTAGCGTGCGCCCCCACTCCAGTGTCCCAAGGAAAGCCTCCCAACCCCCCAACCAGCCTTCCTCCCCGTGACAGGCAGTGGGTCATTTAATTTAGTCACCAGTCTAAACCTTCTTGCCTTGAGCTGGGATGTGGCCCTGCCTGCCTTCGTGTCTCCAGAGATATTGGGCCCCATCCACCTTAAGGAGGGACTCCTGGCCCCACTGGCCCAGGTGCACAAACCGCCCTGACAGTTGACCTGTCCCTCTATAAGTTATCTGTCTGTTTTGCTAAGATTCCCCAAGTATGTGTCAGGGCTTGCTTAGACCTGGGGCACAGCTGTGCAGCACACTGGTCCTGGATCCCTTTGGGGGCCTAGGAGCTGAGACTGGCCCTTCTTTCCACAGTCGGGCTCCCACCCTGACATGCCGGTTCCTTCCAGCTTCAAATCGACATTGGTCAGGACTGGCGGCCGCGCATTTGGTCAGCCAGGTGTGGTATGAACAGGAGGTGACCCTGCCGGAGCAATGAACCCAGGACTCATGACAAGAGTGTTGCTGAGGCTTGGCAGTGCCCACTCCTATGCCATCGGCCAGTGCAGCCAGGAGCAGGCAGGGCGTGGTGGGGTGGGCATGGAAGGAACAGCCTTCTCCTGGGTGGACTGTGGGGGCCCTGCCTGCCCTGGGGCTGTGCCCTGTGTAGGGGATAGGTGGCCTGATCTACCCCATTGGGATGCCATTCTTCCCGTCTGACTGGCAGGCCCCTGAGCTCCATGCTGTAGTTTATGTGAGGGAGTGCCAATAGCAGGGCCTCCTCATGCCCCTGACCTGCCTCCCCCACCCTCCCCATATCCCCTGTGTCTGTGGGTAAATGGGGTCAATGCGCCAGAGCATGAGGGGTTCACTCCTCCCCTTCCAAGGCTGACATCAGCAGCCTTTTCAGAGATGCCTGCTGCCTCGTTTTCCCGGGCAGGAATTGAAGGAGCCACTTGCGGCTGGAGCAATCTGTCCATACTGGGCGTCACAAGCTTCCTTTGAAGCTTCCTGATCTGGCCTGGCTGTTGGAGAGTGTGGGTTTGGAACTTGAGGATAGGGGGTTCTCTTCTGTCCTGTGCCAGCCACAGCCAGCTTTGAATGGGCAGAGCAATGATGGAGGGAGGGTGTAAAAGAAGAAATGAACTTAGGAAAGAGAAGAGGAAAAGAGGCTTCAATAACAGTTCCAGGCTGAACATGATGGTTTTCATGTCTGTAATCCTTACACTTTGGGAGGCCGAGGTGGGTGGATCACTTGAGGTCAGGAGTTCAAGCACCAGCGTGACTCAGATAATGAAACCCCATCTCTGCTAAAAAATACAAAGATAAGCCGGGCATGGTGGTGTGCTACTGTAATCCCAGCCACTACTCGGGAGGCTGGGCAGGAGAATCACTTAAAACCAGGAAGGAGGTTGTACCCTCCAGCCTGGGCTACAGAATGAGACCCTGTCTCTAAAAAAGAAATTACTGTAGAGGCCTTAAGTGGTGCTGGGAGCTCTGACCACACAGGCTGGTCCCTCTGTTGGTTTTTCCCCTTTATCCTCCTGTTAATTTTGACCTGGCATAAAGGCTGCTGTTTCTTCTAAGAGGTCCCGACTTCCAGTCCAGTTATGTTTATTGTCTTGCAGAGCCCAATTCCTGCCGCCACTTGTCATTTCCATTTGCAAACATTTTCTTTCATTGTTTCTTTTCAGAGTCAGAGTCTTGCTCTATTGCCCATACGGAGGCAGTGGTGCAATCATGGCTTGTTGCCACCTCAACCTCCTGGGCTTAAGCGATCCTTCCCCTCAGCCTCCCAGAGAGCTGGGACCACAGATGTGTGCCACCATGCCAGGCTAAGTTTAAATTCCGCCCCCACTGAGATGTCTCTGCCTGTCGCCCAGACTGAGAGCAGTGGTGCAATCTCAACTCACTGCAACCCTACCTCCTGGGTTCAAGCAATTCTCTTGCCTCAGCCTCCTGAGTAGCTAGGATTATGGGCAGGTGATACCAGGCCCAGCTAGTGTTTTTTTTTTTTTTTTTTGTAGAGATGGGGTTTCACCATGTTGGCCAGTCTGGTCTTGAGCTCTTGACCTCGTGATCCACCTGCCTTGGCCTCCCAAAGTGCTGGGATTATAGGTGTGAGCCACCATGCCCCACCCTAATTTATACATTTGTTATAGAAACAGTGGTCTTTACATGTTGCCCAGGCTGGTCTCGAACTCTGGTTCCCAGGGAAGCCTCCTGAAGTGCTGGGATTCTAGGCGTGAGCCATCTACCCGGCACTTGCACCATTTCTCTGTGCATGTTTCTCCATTCCCACTGCCCAGGACCTGTGGCCTTCGATTTGAGTCAACACTACTGAGCACTGCACTGCTTCCCATGTGCCTCTTACCTCGCAGCCTGCACTCCCTGTTCGCTTGATGCATTAGTAAATATCCCTCCTGAATCTGCACCCATCCATTCCTGTGTTCAAGAGCTGTTTCAGAGAGTCAACCTCATTTTTGGCAGTGTCCAGCCCACTGACCTCTGCTCTGTGTGCCTGGAAGGGTGGCTGCTCCTCCGGGGGGACAGGATTCGGGAGGCAGGAAGAAAGAGTGATGTTAGAGAGCCTCGTCTAGGACTAGAGGATCAGTGCCTCTACGAAAATACATCTCAGGTTAGGGGAATAAAGCAGTGGCTGCATGTTTTTTTCTTTTGTTTGTTTGTTTGTTTTGAGACAGGGTCTTGTTCTGTGGACCAGGCTAGAGTGCAGTGGCGCAATCTCGGCTCACTGCAGCCTCCATGTCCCGGGTTCAAGCTTAGTCTCGTGCCTCAGCTTCCAGCTGGTGATACAGACGTGCCACCATGACCGGCTAATTTTTGTATTTGTAATAGAGATGGGGTTTTGCCATGTTGGCCAGGCTGATCTTGAACCCCTGACCTCAAGTGATCTACCCTCCTTCGGCCTCCCAAAGTGCTGGAGATTAAAGGCAGTGGTTTGCTCGTGCCTGGCCCCGTGTTGTGTTCTGATGGGGGAAGATGGGACAGAAAGGATGGGAGGGTGTCTGAGTTCTCCTGGACTGGACGGAACCTGTGCCTTCTGCCTTTATGGACAGGATGGTGATCACTCACACCAAAGCCTTGCACCCCTTCCCTGCCTGTGACCTTGTGACCAACTCCAACTGCGTAGCAGACAAGAGGGGTGAGCCTGGGGGTCCCCACCCCATTTTTCCCAATTGCCTGGCCTTGTCCTGAAGTCTGCCTGGGCGGGAACAACTGGAAAGAACCATGAGCTGCCAGTGGGATTTTATATTGTTTTACTTGAAAAATAGAGACAGGGTCTTGCCATGTTGCCCAGGCTGATCTCGAACTCCTGGGCTCCAGTGAACCTCCTGCCTCAACCTCCCAAAGGGCTGGGGTTACAGGTGTGGGCCACTGCACTCCAGCTGCAGCCAGTCTGTTTTCAAAGATGGTCTTTGGGTTAATGAGAATTCTCTCCTGCTTACTTCTCGCCAGGCAGCGTGGCTTCTGAATCCAGGGAGGCTGGGCATAGGAGTGGGATTTGTTTGCTCAGTTTGACTCAGCTTTTGCACTTTGATTTAATAGACTCAAAAAATGTCAAAGGTTTAAGGGGGCTTAGAGTTCATCTGGCCTACGCCTGGCTGATCAGAATCTCTAGGAAGTTTTTGGAATGGCAGATCTCTGCATTCTGAGATCCCTGATTCAGTAAGTCCTGGGTTGGAACCTGAGTTTTCTTTTTCTTCTGTAGACGCAAGGTCTTACTCTGTTGCCCTAGCTGGAGTGCAGTGGTGCGATCACAGCTCATTGCAGCCTTGAGGACTGTGGGCTCAGGAGAAAGAAGGAAGTCCTGTTTATTGTTGCTTCCAAGGTACTCTGCAATATCTGACAGCATGTGTAAATAATACCTATTGGAGGGTATGGGTGAGGATCTTGTGAGCCACGTTGATCACTCACTTTGTCCTTTTTTTTTTTTTTTGAGATATGCCTTGTTCTAATACCCAGGCTGTAGTCCATGGTGTGATCTCAGGGCTTCTGCCTCGTCGCCGAGATGGACCGGATACTACATGGCCCAGACAAGGTACTTCTGCGGTGGCCTGCCCCACCTGAGACCTCTCCCTGTGGCCACAGGCTCCCACCAAATCCCTGAGCAAATAGTGCAGTGTTACCAGTCTGTGGTTTGTCGTTGAACTGCATACTCTTGGGCGTGGCTGTTTAACTGGGTGCCTTGATGACTGCCTCTCTCCATCCTTTAATGATCCTCAGGCCCATATGGCTCTATGGGCAAGGTGCAGGGCCTCAGATGCACCTTCTCAGGTGCGCTTTCAGGACCTGCCAGCTCCTGGCAGGAACGGCCAGTCATCACGGAGGGTGGACCAGGCAGGGGCCCTTGGCTGCTGATGCCTGTCGCAATTTGACTCCCTGTCATTGCTGCTACCCACTACAGGTGGCTGAGGAGTGGGCCCAGGGCACCTTCAAACTCAACTCCAATGATGAGGACATCCACACAGCCAATGAGCGCCGCCTGAAGGTATCGACCCATGGAGCCCCACCGCTTCTCCTCTTCTGGCCTCCCCTCTCCACCTTGCCTGGGGTATCATTCTGTTTACTTCATCATTGGCAGACAGCAGGTGAGACTAGAGGCGGGCCGGCATGGTGGTCATGCCTGTAATCCTAACACTTTGGGAGGCTGAGGAGGATCATAACCGGGAGATGGAGATTACAGTGAGCGAGATCAGCGCCATTGCACTCCAGCCTGTGTGATAGAGCAATACTTCATCTAAAACAAAGGAAAAACTGTTTCTGAAGCTAGTCAACTAGCAGCACCAGCATCACCTCAGAACTCCTGAGAAATGTGATGTGAGGCCCCACTCTAGAAGGTTGGACCAGACCTGGGGGTGGTCCTCAGCAATGTACATTTATTTTATTTATTTATTTTTTTGAGATGGAGTTTCACTTTGCTTGCCCAGGCTGGAGTGCAAATGGTGTGATTCTAACTCACCACAACCCCGCCTCCCAGGTTCAAGCGACTGCCTCAGCCTCCCAAGTAGCTAGGGATTACAGGCATGCACTACCACGCCTGGCTAATTTTGTATTATTAGTAGAGATGGGGTTTCACCATGTTGGCCAGGCTGCTCTCAAACTCCCGACCTCAGGTGATCTGCCCGCCTCAGCCTCCCGAAATGCTGGGATTACAGGTGTGAGCCACCCTGGCTGTCCAGTAATTTGTATTTTTCATAAATTCTCCAGTCACCATGCCTATGGCTCAATGCCAACCTCAACATTTTGAAAGGCTGAGGCAGGAGCATCACTTGAGCCCAGGAGTTCAAAACCAGCCTGAGCAACATAGCGAGACCCTGTCTCTAAAATTAAAAAATTAAATTAGCCAGTCATGATGGCATGTACCTGTGGTCCTAGCCACTCTGGAGACTGATGTGGGAGGATCCCTTGAGCCCAGGAGTCTGGAAGGATGCAGAGAGCCATGATTGTGCCATTGCACTCCAACCTGGGTGACAGAGCAAGACCCTGTCTCAAAAAGCCTAAATCAGCACAAACAACAAATTAGCTGGGTGTGGTGCCATGCGCACTTGTAGTCCTAGCTATTCAGGAGGGCAACACTGGAAGATTCCTTGAGTCCAGGCTGCAATGAGCTGCATGGCCACTGCACCTGTGCCTGGGCAACAGAGCAAGACTCGGTTCTCACAACAGAAAACAAATCCTCCAGGAACATCTGATGCATGCTAAAGATAAGGACTCTTTGAAAACATAAAGGCCAGTAAAACCTACAGGCCAGTAAGCGTTAATAGTGTATGTAAATATTATCAGTAATTATGGAGAAGATGGTTCAAGCTGAGAGTGACAGAGCGAGTGGGTAAGAGAGGATCTGCCCAAGGCAGGGACATCCTGGCAGAGGGACAGGTCCTGTGTTTGACAGCTTTCCAGACCCCCAGTGTGCCCAGGGCTCACCACTCTGCCCACCTGTGCTCCCCAGGTTCACTGAGAGAACATAGACAGGCCCTCAACCCCGACATACTGGCCACTGACTCCGCCTACTACTTGGTCTGCAAAGAGGAGTGTGTTTCAGCCAGGGGAGGTTGAAGAGATGGGGTGTCACAGAGGGTAGGAGAGCTCAGGTGCAGGTGCCCTGGCCTGGTAGCTCACACCCGTAATCCCAGCACTTTGGGAGGCCTAGGTGGGTGGGTAACCTGAAGTCAGGAGTTCGAGACCAGCCCGCCTGTTATGAAACCCTGTCTCTACTAAAAATACAACAGTTAACTGGGCGTGGTGGCACAGACATATAATCCCAGCTTCTCAGGAGGCTGAGGCAGGAGAATCGCTTGAACCTGAGAGAGGTGGAGGCTGGGCAGTGAGGTGAGATCGGGACACCACTCCAGCCTGGGTGACAGAGTGAGACTGGTATCAAAAAGGAAGAGGCGCAGGCAATGCAGGCAGATCAGGGCGTGGAGGAAGCTGCCTCAGTGCCACCTTCCTCCCCAGCACCCAGATGCCATTCTGCCAGGCCCACAAGGCCTCTGGGAAAGCCGTGGTTCATGGCTGGAGTCCAAGGGGTCACCACAACCAGCTGCCGTCAGGAGGAGCTGCACATCATCAGGTGCGGCGCACCTTTTTCCCGACACTGCCTTCTAAGAGGTGAGCTTGGGTGCCTGGAGGCCAGGGGTGCCCGGTGGCCTGGCCCACCTCTTCCTCTCTCTCCCCCAGCTCCCTGTTCTCAGGTGACATGAGCTACTTGTGACTATGGCACAGTGTGGGGCAGCATCGCCTGGGCACTGCGTGCTCCGCCAACAGGCAGATCCGCCCAGGTGCAGGCACTATTGCAGGCACAGCAGGCTTAGGTCCTCCCATGCCTGGCCCTGCTACAAAGTGGGTACAAGAGGACACTGCTGCGTGTTTGCCCCAGCCTGGCTCCCCATTGCTGTGCTTTCCAGGGCAGGCTATGGGGACAGTCAGGGACTGGAGAGGCAGGGCGGGTGGCCTGTAATCCTAGCACTTTGGAAGGGCAAGGTGCAAGGATGCTTGAGGACAGGAATTTGAGACCAGCCTGGACAACACAGGGAGACTCCTGTGTTATTACCTGTACCTAATAATAAAACAAATAATTAGTCCAGCATGGTGGGTCATGCCTGTAAGTCCCAGCTACTTGTAAGATTGCGGCAGAGGATCACTTCTACGTTCAGGAGTGGAGCTGCAGTGAGCTATGATCACGCCGCTGCATTCCAGCCTGGACAACAGAGTGAGACCGTGTCTCTAAAAGAAAAACTTAAAAAAATAAAATGGAAGCAGAGAAAACTGGGCAAAGGCAATGAGAATCATAGATAGGAAGGGAAGAGGGGTCTCCTGTCCTAGCCTCCACCTGGTCCAGGCCCCATCCCCTTCAAACAGGGTATCACAGTGACCTCAGGCCAGGATCAGTGGCTCATGCCTGTAATTCTAGCACTTTGGGAGGCCTGGGCAACATAGCAAGACCTCAGCTAACACATTAAAAAAAAAAAAATACCCAAGCGGACGTGGTTGCTCACACCTATAATCCCAGCACTGTAGGAGACTGAGGCTATGGATCACTCAGTTTGTGAGTTTGAGACCAGCCTGGCCAACATGGTGAAACCCTGTCTGTACTAAAAATACAACAATTAGCTGGGTGTGCTGGTAGGATCCTGTAATCCCAGTTACTGGGAGGCTGAGGCAGAATTGCTTGAACCCGGAGGAAGGTTGCAGGAGCCAAGATTGTGCCATTGCACTCTAGCCTGGGTGAAAAGAGCAAGCCTCTGGCTTTAAAAAAATGTAGAAGAAGAGGAAGAAGAAACAGCTATGATGTGGTGGCTCACTCCCTGTAAAGGAGGAGGGAGACGGAGGAGGAGGGATGAAACAACCAGGTGTGGCTTATGGCCTGTAAAGGAAGAAGGAGGTGAAGAAACTGCTGTGAGCAGTGGCTCACCTTTAAATGAGGAAGAGGAGGAGGAGGAAAAGTAAGAAAGAACCTTGTAGGCAGATTCTCACGCCTGTGGGAGGAGGAAACACCAGCGTGATGACTCATACCTGTAAAGAAGAGGAGGAAACAGCCAGGCGTGGTGGCTCATGACTGTGAAAGAGGAGGAGGAGGAGGAGGAAACAACCAGGTGAGGTGGCTCACGTGCCTGTAAAGGACAGGAAGAGGAGGAAACAGCCAGGGGAGGTGCACTCATGCTTGCAGAGGAGGAGGAGGAACACTCATGCAATGGCTCACACCTATTGAGGAGGAGGAAACAGCCAGGCGAGGTGGCTCACACCTGTAAAGGAGGAAGAGGAGGAGAGAGAAATAGCCAGGCAGTGGCTCCTGCATTTAAATGCGGAGGAGGAGGAAAAGAAAGAACCAGTCAAGGTGGTTCAATCAAATGCGCATTTGTCTCAGATGAGCAAAGGGATGACTTAGAGTTCAGTAAAAGTTTCTGGCCTACAAGGAATTTCCTAAAAGGCAAATTTGGTAGGAGGTATGTAGTGTTTTGTTTTTGCTTTTTCTTTTTTTGAGACAGTCTAATTCCAGAACCAGGCTGGGAGTGCAGAGGGCGTGATCTCAGCTCACTGCAACCTCCTTCCGGGTTCAGGTGATTCTGCCTCAGCCTCCCGAGCAACTAGGGATTACAGGCATGCACCACCATGCCCAGTTAATTTTACATTTTCAGTAGAGACAGGTGTATCACCAGGTTGGCCAACCTGGTCTCCAACTCCTGACTTCAGGTGATTACCACCTCAGCCTCCCAAAGTGCTGGGATTTCAGGTGTGAGCCACCGCATTTGGCCCCTCTCCCTGTATTCATATGCCTGCAACCCCAAGAGAGGGCTCCTGGGTTCCTTGAGTTAGGTCCGGGCCCCAGAGGCCCAGGGTCAAGGCTATGGCACCATCCCAAGAACATTCTTCTCTTCAAGTGGCTGCATCTGACAGGCATGGATGCTACAGGCTGGGCTCCGCTCGACTCCTGCTGTGGGAAGGCAAGAGAAGGTGCTCCTGAGGAAAGGGAGATTCCACTGATCTCAGGAGTTCTTTTCCTGGCCTGCAGCCCGTCTCGTCTCAGAGTGGTTCTGGGGTGGGGGAGAGCCGACCTGCCCTTCTTGGCTGGGGGTTGAGGGTTCCGCTTTACCCAAAGGCATAGCCTGGGGTTACAGCTGCAGTTCCCACTGGGCAGCACTCGCCGGCCCCGCCTGCCCCTGCAGGCCTGGCACTTGTCCTCAGCAAAGATGGCTCGGACGGCCCTAGGCGCCTAACGCAACCCCTGCCGGGCCCTCCCATGCCAGCTGCTCTTAGTTCGCCTGCTCTTAGCCCCATAGACGTGCCTAGCCGTGGAGCGGAAAGTGTGACCCGGTGACAGGGTGGCCTGGACGGCGCTCTGGCCACTGTTGTATGGCTGCGCTTTGGTGCTGCAGGGCGGGATGCTGTATCCCTGGGAGAGCCTGTTGCGGGAGCGCAAGGAGATGGGTGGCTCCTGGAGCTTCTGCTCCGACTCTGACAACCGAAGAGGGGCATTAAGGAGCAGTGGTACCCTGGCAGCTGCAGGAGGTGAGGGCCTGCCCGGAGTCACTTCGTTGACTACCTACCCTGCTCAAGATGTAGTTTAATGTAGCCCCAAACTCCTGGCTCAAGCAATCCTTCCACTCTCCAGCCTCCCAAGTAGCTGGGGCTGGGGCTGGCAGGCACGCACTACCACACTTGGCTCATTTTTTGCATTTTTAGGGAAGAAGTGGTTTCCCATGTTACCCAGGCTGGTCTTGAACTCCTGGGCCTGCCGATCCTTCCACCTCAGCCTCCCAAGTGTTGGGATTACAGGTGTGACCACTGTGCCTGGCCAAAAAAATCTTTTTTTCAATTAAAAAACAGCACTGGACACGGCGGCAAACGCCTGTAATCCCAGCACTTTGGGAGGCCTAGCCCAGTGGATTACCTGAGGAGTAGGTAATGACTTCTACAACTGGTTTGGTGGAAATCAAATCCAAGTACAACTACAGCCGATGGCAGCAAGGGACCAGATCTTTCTGCGATGGTGAGGTGATAGCATCCTCAAAAGTTAAAATGCCAGATGCATGACAATGCTCCTGACTGGTTAATAGGGTGATAGTCACTAGTCCATTGAGGTGTCTTATTTAAGGGGGAACATGTGGGCATCTTAGTTTTATGACTCTGAGGTAAGAACCAGAGGCCAGGTATATCCCCAGTATAGTCACCCACAAGTATTCTACCCGGAGCAAGGGAGGGCAACACGCCGAGTGGGATGATGATTTCTCAGAGGTTGGTAGGATTAAGAGACCAAAATCTGCAGGAGATATCCGTATACAGGTGGTTTGACTGAAAATGCTATGTCCAATGAACAAATGTGAATGTACTATGTAATACTAAGAATTTTGAGTTCCCGTCGAGTATCCATGTAGAACTAGTTCTATATGTAAGTGTAGTATTATGTATGATAGTTAAGAAATTGTGAACACTCGCTTATATGCATGTGGAGCAAGCTTGTAATGTCATCTTAATCTGGTGAAATGTACTGTGCACAATCACATTGGCAGTACTATATATTCATGGGGACTAGGCAGTAATGCACAAAGTACATAGAAGTATTAATGTATTAGTGCTGATGGTCAGTACTTTAGTACAGAAATTAAAATGCATGAAAAGAATACAGAGAATAGTTAATTAGAATCTCAGCTTTGGGTGTAAGATGGTGAAGCAGGAATGTTTTTCTCTCTGAGCGTTCTAGGAGGGACTTCATTTCAAGCCCCATAAGACTGGAAGTGATGGATTATACTACATGGCAGTTTCATTTAAGTAGTTTATTCTTGATTAGGCAGTGAGTGGTATAAGAACAAGAATAATAGAGAAATATCTCATAGATGCTGTCTGTCCGATGGTAATGAAAGGATGTTCTTGGCTGTCCTCCGATCCATGTGAGTGTGAGTAGGTCAGTGACTAAGATTCAGAACAGATAATGGGCGGAATATTATGCTTTGTTGTTTGGATGTGTGGAGTGCAGGAATAACTGCTAGAAGGAGAGTGGATAATGAAGGCCAGTACACTCCCAGTTTATTGGGGATGCACTACAAGAGTGCAT